GTTATGTCTTTTGTGTCTCAGACCAACACGGCTAGCAAGTGCACCCCTACAACATCAACACGGTACTTGAGGTGGATTAATTAGCATGACTGATAGTGCCAACTAGTCACCCCAGACCTAATTAGCCTGCCTCCGTGGCCATGGCAGTGTGGCTTCCCATTCAAGAAGCAGCCCACCTGCAGCACCACGGCAGGCTGTAGATATAGCCCCCTCCTCCCTTCATGACTTGTTCCCCATCGATTCTCCATACCGGCCACAGCTTCCGATGAACACGTGGTCAGCATGATTCTCCTAAAGCCCACATGACCAGACCTGCAGCTCCACCGTCCCTGACCATCCCGTGAGCTGAGGAAACGCATAGGACTCATGATCTCTTGCCATGTTCCCACTATGGACCCAGACAGCTGGACTCGTACAGATCTGTGCAGGTGAGAGAGCTGGGCCCTGACCCCAGGGACATGGGGAAAGGCAGCAGTTTTTGTACCCTTCCCGCTAGACTGTGCCTTGGTGCTACCTGGGATTAGCAAGAGGGGAAGACATGTTGCATCCTCCCATGCTCCCTGCATGGTGCACCCAGGAACCATCTGGCCCTGGGTCTTTCCACCACAGCTGTGACTGAGCCAGCAGTTGCAAAGCACTGCCCTTAGCTGCAGTAACACTACAGTTGTGGCACTTGGAGCTGTCACCAACCTCCCCCCGTTTCCTCCTGTAGTGAAAGGTGCCTCTTCGGCATCAAAAATCTGATTTCAAACATCAGAAATTCAATATATTTATTGCACGTGCTTTGACGATTCATTGGGTATGGCACAAACCAGGTGAGGCATTGGGGTTAAGGTGAAGCCAACATCCGCCGTGAGATCTAGGTCTGACTTAGACATGCCAGGAGGGGGTTGGAAAGTAAATTTCCGGAGCAAACCTGCGAAGAAGAGGAAAAGCTCCATTTTGGCCAGTCCTTCTCCAACGCAAGCCCTTCGCCCTGGAAAACATGGAGGTGAGAGGTCAGCAACACACTGCTTGGTTAATGCTTTTGTCTGAGATCTTTACAACTGTATCTATGGAGCCTGTAACAGCTGGTAGGGGGCACCTGACTGCTTTTAAGAGAGGTTTTGATACATTTATAATGTGGCTGACTGTGGTAATGGGACTGGATGATGACCTAGGACATACCTCCAGTTCTCAGGTTTTGTGTTCCTATTTGGGTCTGATTTTCATAGGTCTGAGCCTCCACAATCCCCTTGGGAATTGGAGGGAATGGCATGGTCAGCAGGATGGCATGCTGAGTGCAAAATGTGCTCATTACCTATGGAGAATGGTATAAACGCCTCCTTCCGGATAAAGTTGCCATCACTGTCCAGGAAGTGGGAAGGGTTGAACTGATCTGGTGTCTCCCAGTGCAACTTGTCGTTCAGAACAGAAGTCAACAGGGGAATCACCTCTATTCCCTGCAAGGAGTAAGGACAACAGACAGGTCCAGCTGCGAATGGTCAGAGGCCATCACTCGCACAGACCGAACGCATTTATCCACGTGAGGAAGTAAATAGCACTGAGAATCACTGAACAGATCAACATGATACTTCCGCTCATGGGAATATTGAATCCCTTCGAATCCAAAGAAATCACGCTCAGGAAAGAACCGTGAACGCTATTGATGGATCTGTATTACACAGAATCCATGGTCCATAAATACTGAAATCCGTTAGCAGTACGATACTTCTCCTTCCTCCTCTGACTAAACAGTCAGCCCTCTGAGACAGTATTAGGTGCCTCCCAAGGAGCACATCTCAGTCAAAATCCTGCACTCAGTGGAGTGGGCATAAACCAAGAAGAACGGCGTTGACCCCTGGATGCAGAATCCAGGTCTTCTAGATTCTTTGAACAGAATCTGCCCCAAAGCTTAGAGGTCAGATACAGGAGAGCAAATACCCCAACCTTTTTAGATTTATATTCTTCCCAGCCTTGAGCAAAACGGTGCGAGTGGCTGCAATGTCAGCCGTCAACCTCAACACTTACTTTAGGTATCACGTAGCCCCTAAAGTTAACATTCCTGGAGGTGGAACGTGATACGCTCATTGGGACAATATTGGCAAATCTTTGTATTTCATGGATCACAGCATCTGTGTAAGGCATTTTTTTCCGATCTTCTAGGGTGGGAAGCTGTCCTGGTTCAATGACCTTATTAATTTCTTCCTGAATCCGCCCTGGAGAAGAGAAAGGGACGAGGTTTTCAGGCTTCCAGAGGAGAACACAGCACCACAGCAGGCATCTCATCTGCAATCTAAGGAGAATTTGGAAGAAATCTGGGTATTGCAGGAATAAGTGGTGGTGGTTCATCAGGTGACTCATTTCCCCTCAGTCATTACCGAGCCAATAAACCCCACTATCATGGTGAATCCCACACCTGGTTCTCATCTCACACTGTTATCACTCCGTAGTCTTCACTGGACATGCAGTCAAACCAGGCCATCCCTCAGATGTGAAACCAGTGAGAACAAGGAGGTAGATCGCCAGCCCACAGAAGACCTGTCGACGGGTATAACTGAACCGAAGTGGAATCGGGCCTCTCGTTCGCTTCTAGTTAAACTCAGTTGAGTTTATAAGATTGATTGTTTTCTAATTTACTTCTAACTTGGGGCACTTTCTATTTACTCCTGGTGCATGCCCTCTGCCTTCTGTAACTGTGGCTGTGATTTGGTGTGTAGCAGAATTGGATAAAAGCCTGGTTCTTAGCCTTACTCTGGATTTCTGGGTATTTCATCATCAGAAGAAGACCCCACCGCACAGTGGTAGAAGTCGTCTCAGTGCCAGCAGCGAAGAGGTCCAGGGTTGAGAACAGCAGGTTCTCATTGTGAAAGTAGGTGCGAGGGTTTCTTGACTCCTTCAAAACACACCGGGAATGCTCATTAGATCCATAGCAAGTAAAGCCAATAACCCTGCACAGTCTGCCATCGGAGGTGGTTCAAGCACCTACTCTGAACACCTTCAAGAGCAAATTGGATGCTTATCTTGCTGGGATCCTGTGACCCCAGCTGACTTCCTGCCCTTTGGGCGGGGGGCTGGACCCGATGATCTTCCAAGGTCCCTTCCAGCCCTAATGTCTATGAAATCTATGAAATCTTAATGCCTTTCAGCTTTGAATGGGTTTGAGCCTCATTTTATCTTTTCATTCATTTCACTTTTAAGGGAAGACAAGAATGTAGTTCAGTCTAAGCACCAAACTTATAAGAATTTGCTGAGTTGAAAATAAGCAAGCAGTGCTAGGGGCATAATCCTGAACAGTAAGTAGACCTTCAGTTACTGTGATAGGATGTTTCTGTGCAAATCCCTGGCTGCTAGCAGTGATTCTATTGCTTTCACACCATGAATTTCCACGGGACTTCGCTGCACATTAGGTCACTTGGTCAACAATATCACTAGAATTATTCAGAAATCAACAGGCAACTCGGTGGGAGCATGGGCAGGTGAAGGTAGCCCTGGTATAAGTCTATTCTGATCACAGTAAGTCTAGCATTCACATTCATCCCCGTTCCCTACCAGATGTTCCGCATTAATAAATGAAGCAAAAGCTAACAGAAAGCAAAGACGCGGGTTATGCCGAAGCTTAGGTGTAGAATACCTGCTGTTGTTTCATCAGAAATGCATCTACAAAGCCTGTTAAGTTATTTTCATTGAATTCCTGCTTGTGTTCCTGAAACAACTTCTGCAAAAAGGTGTTCAGCTCATCCACGTTCCGCTGCACAGTCCTCGGGGCGCCGAACAGAAAGCCAATGGAGGGGTAGAAATTATATAACTGGCAGAAAACAAAAGGATTCATGTTCACTGTCATTCTGGACACCTCCCAGAGCTGCAGTCTGTGGAAGGGAGGAGCTGGTATGACGCACGGCACCGTGGACAGTCTCATGCCGGGGGTCTGTCAGTGACCACAGTGTGATTCTCGGAGAGGGCAGTGAAAAATCCCCAAGGGACTCCTAGCTGATTCATGTAAAATCCTTGATTTGCTATAAAAACGCCTTCCTGATCCTTAAAGGAGAGCAAGTGATGCCCTGAAGCATCTTGATTGGAAGGTCACAGCGACCCTAACTTATGGGTGGCTACAAAGCCAAAACTTATGGGTGGCTACAAAGCTCTCGTGTCTTTGGGAACCTCCTTCCTACTTGTCCCCTTGGACGTTCACGCGGGAAGCATCCAGAAGGCTATGCCTAGCACCCTTTGAGTGACAGAGGTAGGACCCACTATGAGGAGTCAGACCAGGGGTATATGTAGGACAGTGCTGGCAGCGGGGGGAGGAGTACACGGCTGCTTAAAGGAGAAGCAAGGATCTGCAAGGGCACTGAGCCAGCGAACCGTAGGCATCATTGGTTGATTATGGTTCCTGACCCCTGCACCCCTCCATGCCCCAGCACTTCTCTCAGCATCAAACCCAGCAGTTAGCCCTTGGCGGATTCACACTTACCAGCACCATAGGGGAGCCCAACAGTTTGGTGTTTTCATTTATCAACTTCAGCAAAGTTAGAAACACGGGATCGTTGTATTCAAACCTCTCTCCAAACAATATAGAGCAGATGACATTGGATACGGCGCTGTTCAGTATTACCTTGGTGTCAGAGGGCATCCCTGTGTTTCCAGCAATGAAAGGAAATCAGTTTAGGAGTCGCACTTGTGTGGGGAATGTGCCAGTTTCACCCTGCTGGGCAGGAATGCTCCGTCTAGATACCATATTTCCGAGAATATTTGATTAAGTTCTGGGAAGCGATAAGCCAATGACGTGGAAAGCTACCAACTCTAATGAATACGGAAACCACCAGAGGCTCAGTTAGAGCAAAGTCAGAGATATGCAAAAGGACCTTTTGCAAAAGGACTAAATTCTTAACTCCCCAGATTAGCAAAGTCCTTACGCCTACGACTAAGCACGTGGGAAGTCCTGTTACTCTTAGGCTAAAGCCTGTTGTTGACCTGGGCTCTAGCTGTTCTTTATCAGAATTACAGTTTTCACACTCACCCCGGCGAGACTCAAAATATTTAATGAGGCAGTTCAGCTCTTCGAGAATACGGAGCTCAATGGTTTTCTTTCCAACCCCAAAATTTCGCAGAGTAAATAAGGTGAATTTTCTCATGGTTTTCCATGACTCTCCATGACTGAAGCCTATGCCTAAAAGAAAGTTAGAGCACACTGACATATCATTTGGTTTATGAATATCCATAAAGCTGTATTTCAGCCTGTATGGAAGTTGTTATATGTCTTCAAAATGTCATGCATGTCAATGCACATATTGACAGATTTTCCCTCTCATAAGAATAAAATGAACGTACACACATTTAAAAAAAAATCAAATAAGCCCTTATTTACCATTTCCTTTGGTTATTTTCTGAAAAATGGGGATTTCTGCTCTCCCTCCAAACTCTTCAGCATGGGTTAAAAGGGCTTCCTTGATGGTTTCATATCCAGCCAGCACCACTGCCTTCCTGGGTCCAAAATGCACAGTGAAGATATTGCCGTATTTCTCAGAGAGCTTCAAATGTAAATACATATGTTGATATAGTAACAGATCTGGATCCATAGTTTAGGAAGCATCAGGCCAGTATCTGTACACACAGCCTGAGCCACTGGTCATTGCCCTTTTGCTTTAGTTAGTACCCCACCCTTCTCAGCCTGACACACCATTCACACATAGGTGACCGGGTGACACCCGTAGAGGAACAGCTCATCCATACTAATTTCAGTCTTACATTGTGGTCCCATAAGAGCACAGAGAGCCCAGGTCTGCAGGGAGATGAAGGTATGTCTACATCATGTCCCCAGCCTGCCTAGGAAGGAAGCACTCTTGAGTATGCGCTGCCTGCCCACACCCCCATGCACCAGACCCAGAAATGTGGCATCTCCCCGTGGTTGTTGGTTTCTGTAACTGGTGTGACTCCTGTTACCCATCTGGACTCAGGGCTCCGACCACTGGCTTCTGTCATGAGTCCTGTGTATCCTAGAAATCAGAGCGCCACCACAAAAACTGCAGTGCTTGTGGTAAATGGGTGTTTATACACATGCTCCGGGAGTCGGGGGGTGCTTTAAATAGACGGGCTGTGAGAGCTGCTCTAATTAAAGCACCCAGAGTGTCATGTGTATCAGCGTTCCCACGCTGAAAGATGGCAGCAGGGGCACTTTAAATAAAGCTCATCGAACAAGCTTTAGCTAAAGTGCCCCACCACCATTTTTCAGTGCAGGGATGCTGATACACATGATGCTGGAGCCTGCTGGAGCACAGTAATTTCCATGCTCCAGCACACTCGATTAACCAAGTCTGCTCTGATGCGCTGTACTTATATGTGATAGGTGCCCTATGAGACTCAGCCAAGACATCCCCATGTCCTGGAATCTCTCAGCTGACAGAATATCTCCCGGGCCCATGTACAATCCAGTTTGAGGCGTGTTTTCTTGGACCTCCCAGGAAGGTGGAAGCTGAAAGTCTCTGGCAACAAGCAGAAGTCTTCATTTCAACCTGCAGCAGTTTGCCTGGAGAACAGATATGGAGCCCTAGCAACAGAGGACAAAGAGCACGTTCTGTTGGTGGAGGAGACCAAGCCAGGAGGATCAAGACCATTGCCACCAAGAAGAAGCGACAGGTGGTGGTGGTTGGAGACTCCCTTCTCCAACCACTCCCTTCTCCCTTCTCCAAATGGAGGTGGAGGCATCCATTTGCTATTTAGAAAAGTTGGACATATACAAGTTTATGAGGCCAGAAATGATGCACCCAAATATGCTGTGGGAGTTGGCCAATGTGATTGCAGAACTCCTGGCCATTATCTCTGAAAACTTGTGGTGACTGGGAGAGGCCCTAGGCGATTGGAAAAGGGCAAATGTAGTACCCACCTTTAAGAAAGGAAAGAAGGAGGATCCGGGGAGCTACAGACTGATCAGCCTTACCTCAGGCCTTGAAAAGTCATGGACCAGGTCCTCAAGGAATCCATTTCTAAGCACTTGGCAGAGAAGAAAATGATTAGGAGCAGTCAGCATGGATTCACCAGGGGCAAGTCATGCCTGACCAACCTGACTGACTTCTATGATGAGATGACTGTCTGTGGACACGATATGCATTGAATTCAACAAGGCTTTTGATATGGTGTCCCACAATGTTCTGGCAAGCAAGCTAAGGACGTCGGGGTTGGATGAATGGACTGTATACTGAACTGAAAGCTGGCTGGATCATCAGGCTCAAAGGGTAGTAATCAATGGCTTGATGTCTCTTTGGCAGCCAGTGTCTAGAGGAGTGCCCTGGGAGTCAGTCCTGGGGCTTGTTTTGTCCATTATGTTCAACAACCTGGAAGATGGGATGGAGTGCACATTTGGAGATGACACTAAGATGAAGGGAGTAATAGATATGCTGGAGGGTAGGGCAAGGACTCAGAGAGACCTCAACAAATTGGAGGACTGGACCAAAAAAAAATCTCATGAGGTTCAATAAGGAGAAGTGCAAAGTCCTGCACTTAGGACAGAGCAATCCCACACACCAGGACAGGCTGGGGCTGACTGGCTGGGCAGCAGCTCTGAAAAAAATGCTCTGGGGGTTACAGTGGACAATAAGCTGAATATGAGCCAACAGTGTGCCTTTGTTGCAAGGAAGTCTAACAGCATCCTGGGCTGCATTACTAGCCAGCAGATTGAGGGAAACAATTCTTCCCCTCTATTCGGTACTGTTGAGGCTATATCTGGAGCACTGTGTCTGGTTTAGGGCACCCCAGCTCAGAAAGGATGTGGAACAACTGGAGTGTCCAAAGGAGGGCAGCAAAAATGGTTAGGTGGCCTTGGGCACATGACTTCTGAGCAGAGGCCGAGGGAACTGGGTTTATGTAGTCTGGAGGAGAGAAGACTGGGGGGGGAGGGGATTTAGTAGGTCCAGAGAAGATGGACTTGGACTGGTGTCAGTGGCAGCAGATGACAGAACAAGGAGCAACAGTCTCAAGTTGCAGCAAGGGAAGTTTAGGTTGGATATTAAGGAAAAACTCGCTCAGTAGGAGGGTGGTGAAGCCCTGGAACAGGTTACCTTGGAGGTTTTGAAGACCTGGCTAGACCAAGCCTTGCCTGGGATGATCTAGTTGGGGCTGGTCCTGCTTTGAGCACAGGGTTGAACTAGATGTGACCTCCTGAGGTCCCTTCCAGCCCTAATTTTCTATGATTCAATGGTTCAAGGATCAACTTGGAGCAGACTAGAGGCTGCTCTATTTTATATGGCAAGCACTGATGCAGCACAGAAACAGTCCAAGGATTTAGGGGCAAAGCCACTTTGCTGAACTGAGGACAACTCAGCTACAGGTCAGAGTCTGGGCTAGGTTTTTATTACAGAAGAAAGCATCTATTAAAACAGTAGCACAGTCACTTAGGGCGGGCATCTCTGTTCATGTTGAAGAGCTGTGTCTTATCTTGTTTCTATTACTCCAGTGCGGGGCCCATTTTCTTCACTCAGTCCTGTCATTTCACTACCATGGAGTTATGCAGCAAGAGCTCTTTACAGGTGCTACAGTCCAGAATGAACATCCCAAATACTGAGCAGAGGCATACAATGTGGGGGGTGTCTGCTTGCAGGCTGGTGGGGAAAGCATGAAATCATCATTTAAGATCAGGCCACAAATATTGAAGTGATTCAGAAATCATTCTCTTTAGCGCTCATTCCTGCAGTCATTGCAAGGAGAATCGCACTAGGGTCCTACCAGAATCAGCTGCTGCCCCTTGGAACTTGAATCCCGCCTTGAGGCATTTCTCTTGGAGAAATTCACAGGAGCTCTTGGCTTTAATAGCAAATTAAGTCTGAATCATCTGTTACACACAAGAGCAGCTTTGACAATCTAATCATATGCTCAGGATTTTATACTTAGTTTAAACATACTGTAAGTCATCTGCTCCAAATTTCTTCTCATTTCATGTGTGCCCAGGATACCATTTGCAATGCATTAGGTACTTCCTGAAAATTGAATTTCAGATTACAAGCTGCTCCTGTTATTACTCAAGACAAATTGAATTTTGTTTTCCTCGAATGATGGCTTGACAGCGTGGGAGAGGCTGCAATACTGATTCTTTTCTCTCCAGCAGAATCACAAAGCATACAGCAAACAACCAGGACCAGGCAAGCATAGTAATTCCCCAACCTTTGCTGAGTTAGTTCTTTACATTAATATATCTTGGCATGAGATCTAACTTGGAGCTGCTGACTTCTCTCAGCATCATGAATATTGGATGTGGCAGACTTGAAAGTATGAAGGAAGCCACTTGGTGGTTTATGGGACCTCCCAGTAGATGTGCATCTACATCATAAAATCCTCCACCACAACTAATAGTTACTAGCCTTCCTTTCCACACAGCCACACTTACAAGCTTTGCAGAGAAACCAAGGATTGAATGGTTGGAGAAACTGAGCTGTGGTCCCCTGCAAATGCCAGGAGGGGTACGTCGGTTGGGCAGCAATGGGAATTTGTACTTTGCAACACCTGCCTAACTGGAGAATTGCTGTGCCCAAGGCCGCCCCTCCTCACTTTGACACTTGCATGCAAAACAGAAAGGCAAACATGACCTCAACAAAGAATAGCAGTGCCCTGTGGGTTTCAACACAGCCTCTCTAGGTATTTGAATTGCTGCCCTTCACGTGAACCGGACAATAGCTTTATGCAATAGTGTAACATAGCCGACCTAAAAATAGCGAAGCTTTTTTTCCCTGTAGACAAAAAGATATCCACGGAGCCCTGAAAATGGACAGAAATACGAAGTTTCCTTTCAGAAAAAGCAGTTGATTACCTAGAAACCTCAACAATCATGCCCAGAAATCTAAAAGAACATGGGCTCTGGGGAGGGAAGGGTTGAGGTTTGTACTTCCTCTATGAATAAGCGCTGGGGCCCTGGAAGCAATGTAAAAACAAGCAAAATCCCTCTGTATTTGTGGTGCTGTCTTCTGTAAAGATTCGTATGTACCTGTTGGTAATGACGTATAGGCTGGATCTATAGGGCTTGGCCCTAAGTCTGAGGTCAGGTCAGCTGTGGTGGCATCTTACACTCATCAGAGACTAAGCGGAGGTCTTTGTATGCCCAAAGGTCGACTGCTGGGATGGGACTGCAGGATGGGAGCCTGTTTGTATCTTTGCATGCATAAGGGGGGGAGAAATGGGCATCTCTGTTGTAACTTAAACACTTCCCTTTTGTTCCCACACCTGGATATGATTTAAACACATTACTCCCTAGATAGACAAAGTTCTTTGGGTGAATCTGATATCTTTTATTAGGCCACCTTCAATAGTTGGGGGAAAAAAATTTTCCCCCAACTATTTAAGTTGGCCTAATAAAAGATATCAGATTCACCCAAAGAACCTTGTCTGCCTATGTCCTTAGAGCAGCACGGCTACAACCTGCACCCCTTACTCCCTCGATGTCATTCTCCACCGCACACAGCCAGGCCCATGACTCTCATCCTGCCCCTTCCCTCTACTCCTTCCTACCTCCATCAGCGACTGAAAGGGCTTCCTCAGATCCACCACGTTCAAGTTCCCGATGAGAGGAAGTGGGGGCGGCCCAGGGGGCAACCTGCAAATTGACCTCTTGGCGCTGGTCAAAAAATAGAGGAAAGCCGCCAGCCCCCCTGCCAGGCAGAGCAGCGAGCCGGAGCTCAGCCACTGCAGCACAATGTCCAGGACGGCCATCTCGGATCAGAGCAGAGAGGTGTTTGTATGGAGGAGCATCTCGGGTCTCTTGGGGCCTCCCTTATAAAGATGCCCTGACCTTCTGGACACACCTGCTAGATATGCAGCTATGGCACAGCGACACGGGGGCCGGACCTTTGTTTATGTACATTTGGATCAGATGTTTGGTGGGAACCTGTCTGCAAAAGCCCTGCTTTGTTCAAAACCCTGGATTATCCTGCCTGCTATTAAGCTGGGGCTCCTATTTCATCCCCAACACTTGAGAAGGGTTGTATTTGAACGTGAGGAGCCTGACTGATGTGTCGGGTCATCTTCCCCCATGGAAATCAGTGGCAGGCTCCCACTATCTTGCGCTGGATTAGCCCCACTGGACTCCTTTAATGCCAGCTAGCAGAACCCAGGCTATGAACGAAAGTGAGAACTGAGATGGGGGGGAAGTGGCTGCGGGGAAAGCCTCCTGCGGTAGCTGCTCTGGCTGTGAGGCCTGTTGTTGGCTGGCCAGGAAGGAGGCAGAGCCAAGATAAATGATAAATGAGCTAACTCAGGCTTAATCTGCATTATGGAGTTTAGTCAACTTTTGTGGCCTCAGGTTTGCATTCATCCCTGCAGAACATTACCACAATGCGCCTTAATCCTGCCTTTCTGTTACTCAAGTCAAACCACCTCCCAGGATAGTGCAGCCCCCATGTGAACAGGGCTGAGAGGTACGGGATGCAGGCAACTTAGGAAAAAAGGGCAGAGAGTCGATCCTACCTATGCACAATTACTATACCAGCAGCGCATGGTGATGGTGGGGCGTAGCGCAATGCACTATCCACAGTGCACTGGGTACCCGCAATGCACTGGGGCTCCACCCAGTGCCACCACATGCCTGAGGAGGCACTATCCAGGCACAGGTACCAAGGGTAACATAGCAAAGCTGGCTGTTGTAAGCTAATAACATGGACGGCAGCAAAATATTCCAGTGCTGACAAACAAGTCTCAGGGCATCCCCCGGCAGCTTGGAGGTCAGGCTGGAGACTGCAACAGTCGCCCCCAGGGTTGCTCCCCAAGGATGGCCGTGACAGTGAACTTTGCTGTGGTGCAGCACCGTCTGCAGACTCATAAAGGAGGAACCAGCCCCCACTTCCACAGTCAAGAGAGGATCTGGCCTGCACCCTCATCGGCACAACAAGGCTTTTGCTGAACGTGATCGCTAACAAAGGGCCCTGAATGAGTGCCGCAGATTTACACCATTGTCCTGAAGCCAGGCCCATGTGGCTCCATAGCAAGGACTATCCAAATGGAGATCATTTTTTTCACCCTGGCTGTAGATGCTGTTTGATGATGGAGTCATGCGGCATTACAGCCCCTTTGAAACCTCCAGCTTTAATAATACTTTTCCTAAAGCCCCACAGGCACCTGACACAATCTCCTTTGACGGAACAATGAATGATTATTTATTAATAATAATAAAAGTATAACGGCCGAAGGCAGCTTGAATCAATAAACTCTATCTAAATTGCCATGAATGAAGGTGACTGCACACCTGTCTGCTCTGAGAAGCGTAGTGTTAAGCGGGCTTCATGGCAAAAGGGAATCGTAACGAAACAAGTCAACCCCGGTCCGCTGTGCAGAGAGGAGGAGGAAGATATGGATGCAGGCAAATCACTTTGGAGATTTGCCAGAAAACCAGGCATCCTCCTGCTCTGAGTTTATTTCCTGTAATGGACTTTCCCAGTCCACAATGGCATAAAGAGATGGGGTGATGAATCGCAGCTACTGTCAGGCCTTTGCTTTACATGCATTTGGCATAGGAGGAAACCACGCAAGCATGGCTGGCTTCCAGCGAGCTGTACGCACCAGCTATAGCTATATATGTGCTATACTGCTTCGTTAGGGCTCCAGTGGATCTGTCAAGGAAGACAAGGAGGCCCCTTAGAAAATGTCCATTTTGTTTGGAGGGATACTACCCAGACCCAATCTCTGTAGTTACGCATATGACAATATATGGTCGAAACCTTTCACAGGCAAAATTCCCAGTGACTTGACAACATCCCGCACGTGGCGTTGACTGGCGAGAAATCATTACGTGAGGTTTTCAGTAGTAGGAACCATTGGGCTTTCTTAATGTTGCTAAAGTCTTTTCCCTGCTATCATTTCTCCTGTTGATCTGCTTCCCCCAAAGCCATGCCAGACCTCTTCTGCTGGATCCAAGGAGTCTCTGTGCAGGACTTGAGGAGCGAGTAGTCCTCTTCACTCGCGTCTTTTTCTGCCAAGCTCTTTTTCACATTCAACCTCACAAGCTGAGGGGAGCGTCAAAACCAGGCAAGTGAACTTAACCATGCAGACTCGAGCCATTTCCTCTGTGTTTCGTGGAAATACTCCACGCAATTCTCTTGGAAACATCCGCAGAGTTATCTAACTTCTGTGTGCCGGCCCTGAGAAGAATGCGTAATCCTCTAATGGGAGAGAGGTTAATAATAGCTACAATAACAGTAGGATAATGCAGAGAGAGGAACCTATTATAGAGCCATAATTCAATCAATGGGTCCTGATAACGTAATAAACCACAAGAGTGAACTTCATGCAGCGTGTACGCATCACAAGACACGGCAGCTGAATTACAGCCGAGAGAGATGCCTATCAGACTGTGCATTGTTAGCTGAAATATGTAAGGCCTGGGCACACCCTATTAAATGTTAACATTTTAGAATGACTCTAGTGTGATTTAAAAAAAACACACACACACACACAGTGCTCTTGGTTGTGAGGACACCTTTCACCTTGACAAAGGCTAATGCAAAAAGAAAAAGAAGAAAGTTGCCCGGCCTTGATCTCTTTCCATGTCTTGTAATGGTCTATTGCAAGATTTTATGAGATCCCACCCAATTCTTCTTCAGTGTCCCAACCCGACATGTTTATTTCGTAAAAGCCCAAGTGATTGATATCCTAAGTATCTGATGCATTCATTCTGGTACAAGTATCTTCTTCTGGGCTTGTCGCCCATTTCATGTCATTTAACTGTCAAATCAGGCTGTGTAGCAAGTCATCTTTGAAAAGAAAGTCTTTTAAAAAGTACTTTAAATAATGATTACCTTGCTGCAGGTTTTCAAAGGACATCTCGCATTTCCACGTTCTGCACGTCTGACATTGGTGCGTCGTGTGCTGGGTCTGAGCACTGGAAAAAGAAATGACTTTGCTAAATTGCTTCTTGTGGTAGAATCGGTAGGGAAACAGAGCTGTACTCAGGCAAATCTGAGGGTGTAGCGGTGCTTTCTCTTTCCCAACAAAGCTCCCTCATGAACCATATTTCCTCCAAAACCATTATGCTTGCTTGTCGGGCTTTCATAGGGACACAGCCAATTCTGGGAGATTCTAGAAGTTCAGACCTTAAGAGGATGTGACTTATAGTTTCCATATCTATCAATGCATTTGTAATACAATTCATGGTGGCTACTTGGAGAGGTCTGAGCTTTTCAGACTCAGAGACCCAAGGCTTTTTCGTTTTGATTGTTACAAGTTGGTAATTTTGTGCTGAGGAATCATATTATGACGAGTTTACCTTTACGATTCTGTGGGCTCCGCGGTGGGGGAAGAACTCAGAGACCTGACCTTGGGGTACGGGATGGTTAAAACTTGGCCCAGAATAGCATCCTAAACCCATTTTCTGAGGCTGATGATCCACACCTGAGTGGGACAAGGTGGTGACCTCAGGCAATACTCTGTCATGTCTCCTCACCAGGGGTTCTCGACTTTTTGGGACCCAAGGAACCCCTCGTATGACTCAAGACACTCCTTTTTTGACTGCAGAAAAATAATAGAACAATACTTTTGTTGCAGAGACCTCAGAAAGACCACAATAGGCCAGAATGGTTTTACTACCACCGTAGTGATTCTCAACCAGGGTGCCATACACCCTGGGGTGCCTTGAAATCCTTTCAAGGATGAAGTGAGGTGCTACACAGGGTTAGCACTGTTAGGTTTACAAATGTGATTCACAAGGTAATTCAGAGACTTCAAACTGACATCCATAACTGTGGTCTTTGGGAGTTCTTTGCAACAGAGAAACTGCTGTATGGTTTTTCTGTGGGCAAAAAAAAAAAAAAAGAGGGAAAACTAAGAGCCGGCATTTTCCAAGGGCTGCCTGGAAGCTATCCAGGATGCCTGGAGTCTAGAAAGGGAGCCACTGCACTATGGATTCCTGTTGAAACCTCTGGGTTGTGGTGAAGCATGTTTGCACACCTACAGGTGCTAACACCATGTGATACCCATGACACCCTTGAAAGGATCTCAGGGCACCCTAGTAGAGAATCACTGATCTACTCAGCCAGAGATACCTTTGTGGAGTGACGTTCCTTACAGGATTCGGCAGTTCCTTCCTGGCTGCTGATGCTGGAGATGGGGACATGGATGGGGCTGTAAGAGTACAGGTGAAAAAAGTAAATCTGCCAAGAATGTCTCTGTATGAGTCCATGCAAGGGAAGTGGGAGTTCCCTGGTGCCCGGGGCAGGCTTGAAGGTCACATTTTCTTTTTCTGGCTCTTTACCTTCGCTCACTGTGTGACCCTGGGAAACATCACTTTGTCTTTGCACATTGTGACTGTTCTCTAAAAGTTGTGCTCTCTCTCTCTACACCCCTCGTGCTGCTTCAGCTGACTCTTAAGAGGGAACGAGCCAGCCTTCTGTACAAGTTTGTACAGGGCCTAACACAATATGGCACTGAACTGGTTAGCATGCAGATTCAACTTCAACAGAAGCAGTAAATAATAATAATAATAATAATCCAAGTTATAAAACCCCATTATCAAAAACAATCTGCTCATTGGCTTTTTATTGGTCCAGGTGCCTGGATAAACTAGATGAAACCAGTCTTTGGTGGACAGGTACTAACAGAATTTATGCAAAAACCCATCTCCTAATTGGTAAATCATGTCAGATGCCACCGTTAGGGTGAGGCCTGAACACACATAATCTATCCCTAAGGGTGTACTGAGTCAACCCAGTGCGGGGGCTGAGAGG